ACCCGCCTCGAAGCTAGAGCTTCGAAATGGTCCGATATGCTATTGACCGCCCGCCGTGTCATGTGATGATATGATGTGAAATCTGCCCGAGAACGAGGAGCCTCACGTGAGAGAGATCTGTAACGAAACTAAATCACTAACTAAATTATCGTATGTTGAACATTTCGACAGTTTTTTTTTACAGACTATAGAGAGCACGCTTACTTACTACCGCAACTTAAGCTAACGTTTATAACCTAGCGAAAACTTAATAACTAGAGTGGCTCTACCTTTACGCGCTTTCAAATTAACGCGATCATAACTAAGCTTCTTTGATTCGGCGCGAGATTTGTCGAGGACCTCAGTCTTATAATGCGAGCTCTGGATCTTCTTTGTCGTTCGCTTCAATATCCACGGGCAATAGACATAATTGCGTCACCGGACGCTTGTACTCTGAGTTTGCTCTCTTAACCGAGACAACGCGAACTAAACCGTCGGATCCGGGATGACATCGAGTCACTCGCCCGAGCTCCCACTTACTCGGAGGCAACGTAGAATTGCGGATAAGGACCATCGCTCCGACTCGAATTGAGGATTGCACCCTGCGCCACTTAGTGCGCTGTTGCAAGGTATTAACATAATCTTGCTGCCAAATTCGCCAAAATCGCTCAGTGATCTGTCGAACAAGCTGGAATCTCGAGAGTCGATTCTCGTTTACCTGAAGGAGAGACGGTTCCGGGGAAACGTTAAGAGCGGAACCTATGAGGAAATGTCCTGGTGTGAGCGGCTCATAGTCATCAAGGGTATCGGAGAGGGGGCCCAGAGGCCGGGAATTTAGGCAGGCTTCTATTTTGCATAGCAAAGTAGCGAATTCCTTGAACGTGAGCTTGTGAGGGCCGAGTACTCGGCGAAGATGATGCTTGAGACTGCGTAGCCCCANCTTCCCACAATCCTCCAAATGAGGGGGTGAGGAGGCATGAATCTCCATGCGGTCCGATCCGACGCGGTACCGATTTAGAAAATCGGGATCTCGGAGAGCGGCGCGGTAGGCTCTCACTAACTCTCCATCAGCTCCCGTAAAGGTGGTCCCATTATCCGAATACATAGTCTCTGGCAATCCTCTTCGAGAGCAGAACCTAGTGTAGGCGTCAAGGAAGGCCGAGGTTGAGTATCCTCCTACTAATTCCAGATTAGCTCTTGTAGCTAAACATATAAAGACGGCGATGTAGGCTTTTCTAGACGAAAATCCCTCTTCCTGCTGAAGCGCGTATCATCACCGGTCCGGCATAGTCCACTCCACAATGAATAAATGCCCTCGTAGGGGCCGTCACGCGAGCCTGAGGTAACTGGCCCATCAATTGCGTTTGAACTTCGGCCTTTTCGCGAGCACATTTGACGCACCGATGTATTTCGGCTTTGATTATGTTTCGGGCACGAATTATCCAGAAATCTCGCCTTATGGTCGCGAGCGTAAGTTGGAGTCCGGCGTGAAGGGCCCTCAGATGAGTAGCACGTACTATCAATCGTACCAGTGGGTGAGCATCCATTAGTATCGGATGTTTCGTTCGAAAGGGAAGAGTGGTATGGTCTAACCGCCCCCCGACTCTAATTAGTCCGTGCTCGTCGAGGTACGGGTTGAGAGCCAGAATTGAGCTTCTGGACGAAAGAGGTTTCTGCGTACGGAGTGCGTTTAATTCGTTAGGAAAGACTTCTTCCTGTATGAATTTGAACCAAAATAATTGAGCTTACTCACATTCGAACGCGGAAAGAGCAAGCGGATTAGATAACTCCTTATTTGTCGACCAGACTTTTCGGCGACTTAGATGCGCGAATCGCATTATATATGCGGTAACACGCGTAAGTTTGTCCATGAAGAGTATCTTGAGGCTAGATCCCAACGATCTTCAATCTTGACCACATGAGAGGTGATCGACTTTGCTTCTAATTGAGTCTCGGTTGAGGACGAACCAAGATCACCCGGCCATTCGCTCGGATCTTGACGCAGCCAATAAGGCCCATTCCACCAGATTGTATGTGAGGCTAGATCGGCGTTAATGAAACCTCGCGAAGCGCAATCGGCCGGATTGTCTTCAGTAGTTACATGATTCCATTTGACATATGGTACTAATGACTGGACCGTTTCGACACGATGAGCGACGAACGTCTTCCATTTAGACGGGTGCTGGTTTAACCACGCGAGAGCGACAGTCGAGTCCGTCCAACCATAGCAGGAAACATTCGTTAAATTGAGCGCCGCACGTACCTCATCAATGAGCCGAGATAGTAATACGATAGCAGAGAGTTCGAGCCTGGGTATTGTCATAGACTTTATGGGAGCGACCTTAGATTTCCCCGCTAACATAGTAGTAGTTGTTTCTCCCGCTGGTGTTGTCACTCTCAGGTAGACAACCGCCGCATAAGCAACCGTCGACGCGTCCGCAAATCCGTGAAGTTCGCACTGAGCGGCATCGGAGTCGCGGTTCGTCCATCGAGTCACTGCATCCCATTTAACGAGGATATCCCTCTCCAGATTGCCTCCCAGCGAGCCAAACTTTGACTGGGAATCACGTCGTCCCAATCCACTTTCAACTTCCAAAGATGCTGGATGAAAATTTTTGCAGTAATTGTAACTGGAGTCGCCCATCCGAGGGGGTCAAAGAGTCGCGCTATTAACGACAAAATGGATCTTTTAGTTTTTGGAGAAGAATCCGGGAGCGAGACTTTAAATTGAAATGAATCAAGGGCTGGATTCCAACCTATCCCGAGTACGTTTAGGCTTTCTTCGGATTGAAGGATTTTTGCACATGCGAGACCATGGTCGTCGGAAGGAATATCTGCTAGGAGATTGGAGTGGTTGCTCGCCCATTTTCTCAGCTGGAATCCTCCGCGTTGCAATAGCGCGCAGACCTGATCGCGAGTTTGCCGTAGGAGAGGGATGTCTTCAGCTCCAAAGAGCACGTCATCCACGTAGATATGATCCGTTAATATCGCATGTCGCGAGAGGGAAGGATTCCCCCTCGTCCGCGACCAGTTGTCGAATACTCGAGAGCCAAGAAGGGCGCCGGGCCGTCCCATAGGTAACGGTGCATAACCGAAAATCCTGTATTGCAGCCGTATCGTCTTCGGTCCAGAGGATGCGCTGATAATCTTGATCCCGGGGATCCACTCGAATTTGCCGAAACATTTTGGCTAGTCGGCCATGTATACGTAACGATACTGTCTCCATCTGAGAATAACTCCAATGAGATTGGTTTGGAGTTTAGGGCCCGTTAATAAATGACTGTTTAACGAGGTACCATTTGAAGTTCGACTAGAGGCGTTGAAGACTACTCTTAGTCTGGTGGTGGCACTCGAGTCGCGAACCACGGCGTGGTGCGGAATGTAATTGATTTGCGAGGCCGTTGCCAAGTTGAAAGGAGCAGTGACCTTTGCCATGTGGCCTAACTTCTCATATTCCGAAAG